AGTATGCACTTTGTCATGCTATAACCGACCCGAGATTCGGTATACCTAAATTGCTATCCTCTCTTTGCGAGGAAGTGTAGAATACGCATCACTGAGTGACTACCAATACGGATGGCAATATACCTCGCCACGTTATGAAAAAAGTTAACATCGTTTAATAAAAAATGTCAAACAAACTCGTCAGCTCACCAGAACCTTCATTTAGTGTTTCGGTCTATTTCCCAAGTTCCGCTTTTAAAAGCATGAACTTGCTCATGAAAGGGTAGACTGTCGGACTATGAATCGAAAAACCGTTAGTTCAAGCCCCGGTCAAGTCACTTGCCTTCCATCCTTCCTAGGCAAACAACGTGTATTACTTTCTCGGAAAGGAAAGAAGCTCAACGATGTAAATATCGCCGTTAAAAAAAGGCACTACTGGCTGATCGCAGAGAAACGAAGATTCGTGCCCATAACGTGCTCCATAAAAAGAAGGGTGCTAGCAGTTCCCAACATGAAAGTACAAACAGAACCGATGTCACAATGGTTACGAATTTTCATTAATTTCCTTTCTTTAAGAAACAGTTCACCGATCGCCATGTCCCACGACGTTTTAGACCCATGCGAAGCAACGACAGTGGTCAGAAACCATAATCAGACTTGCATGCTGAACAAGAAGGAAGATCGACAGGATTCTTTCACGACAGATCACAAAGAATAAGCTTGTTTCGAGATATCACTGAAGATGTATTTGTGAGGGACCGCATATATCCATGCAAAAGGACATATCCATACAGGGTACCTGTTCCCCGTCTCCTCCCATTCGGGACTTGCTGAAATTGTGTGTAGTTCAGGTCGAGGGCTGTTTTAAAGTTTAACTGACACCTCGACAAAACCTCCAAACAAACAACGTAAAGTTTACGTATCATAATGACTCAATTCCTGCATGACGACTCATTAAAACCTAAGAGAGATTAAGAAATAAAAACCTGTTTATAAAAGTACTTGCAACGACATTGTGCATACTAATATTTTTACCTGAACGGAAACATTCCTTGGATGTCTAAAACCATCAAGCTTTATCCGAAACAAACCTACATATGCCTGCTTACGTAAATGTCATTACGAATCATAGTGGCTACGCCTTAGTTCAACTCAAATCTGCTTACGACTAGTGTGAAGCGATAGTTTTCAAGCCATCATGATTTGGTATCTTTCACACGTAACCGCAGTAGCGGATCCCTCGATGTGCTAGATTCTTACGATCTATAGGTAGGCTTAGTGTTTGTACTACTAAACTACTAAAGAGTAACTTGTTTGAACAAGTAGGTAAACTAAGCTTCGACAACAAAGACAGCTGCAACCGTATATCAACGCAATTGTACATGACCGAACATTATGTTTATCGACTTCGAACGTCTTCACTACAAGTATTGATGGTACGAATAGCTTCCGAAACTTCGCATAACACTTATGGGAAATTATGATGAACCTGTCTGAGTTCCATTAACCAAAAACGAACTTTTCGCTGACTCTTACATAGGAATGCAGTTTGTGGACAATTTTTACAGCAACGAGATACACGAATTACGCGACCAATGCAATTCGAAGCAGAGCTTACCCATGCGAATCGCAATATGCGCTTTTGCAACACTGGATTCGTATAGGAATTTATCTGTTTCGCTGTAGAATAATCCTGACAGACGGTCATCTTCTTTCATCGCCTCGTAGCCGGCTTCTTTGGGTATCAACGGTTGCATCGCGTAGCCGTACTGGACAAATGACTAGAAAACCTACAGACATACAGAATGATTCGCAGGTACAAAGTTGTACGATAGCAATCAAACGTGCAAGGGTGCAGCGGATCGAGAACCTGTAATTGTTATTGTCGTGTTTCGTTCGTGTACCGCCGACCCTTGCGATGACTACTGCTCATCGGCCAACGTTTACTCCGGCTCTGGGAGGCACGGGCAAGAATGAGGGAGACCTTAGCAAGATTTCGAAGCAGTACTCAAGTCGTGACATGCCGTCACATACTAAATTGAAACAAAGGTTTTCGGCGAGAACCATATAACCACATGACGCGTTCGTTGTTTAGACTTCCTGGCCAGGGCAACACCGAAGATCTCAAAGGAAGGGATTTTAGGCGAGACTTGGAGGACCGAGAAAAGTCTACCACGAAGGAGAGGCATGGCGGGAGAGACTTTCGTTCGTAGTTCATCATTGAAATTTATAACTCAGTTGCTGATATTTGTATCGTTCAGAAACTCTTTCAGCGATCGCCTCATCATCGGACTCAGCAGCAGCCGTGGCTGCGCCGTCCAGAAAACAGAAATTAGGCCAGCTGTCTGTCTCGAATCTCGATGCCGATGATCCTGTTGACGAGGTTAATGAGTGTTTTGTTCGTTTGTTTTCGTTGCTGACAGAAGTTAAGGACCGTTAAACATTTTACCGAAAGTACTACTCGTTGTTTTTCTTGTGCATAGCCAGCCAGAGCGCTTTTTTATAAGTGATACGGAATGTAATGTACGCAGTCTGCTGTACACTTTAGAGATGCCATGTTTAAATCGCAAAGTAGTGTAAAATGCGTCTTATTGACTGCTAATGCCTTTGAATGAGGAATCCACTCCACTATATTTTGGTGCATCTATCCTAGGAACGGTTAGCAAGTCGCTGATCTGCGAATAGGAGGGGCGGTGGTGTTGTGTTCTGGTATGGCCATGTCACAGTTGCCGTGCTTATGATCATTCTTTTTTATGCATGGCCAGTATTGTTGCAATTTGCCTGATTTATCTAATTACAGTTAGCCTTTTTCGATCCACTGCTAAATAAAGACCTCCAAGATTTTGCCAAAAATTTTGTCTTCTGCGATTCCTATTTACGTTGTTGCAGTGAAGTTCTTCGGTTCATTCTGCCATTGATCTGGAAGACTTTCTACCCACTTGGTCCAGTGATGATATCATTTTGACCCTGTGATGGTCGGTTGCTCTTGCTGCGAGTCCTGCCCATTGCCATTCCAACTTCGCTTTTGCGGTAGCATCGCATAGTATTGTTTGGGCTCTTACCAATTCATTCATCTTCGTATCATTTCTTGTTACAACATGCACCTTTCAATGCTGTGTTGTGGTCTTTAGTTTGTGGACTATTTTCATGCTTAGGTTCCATGTTTCTCATTGATATGTTACTCGTAGATGCACGCACGATCGAACAGTTTTGGTTTCAAACTCAAGCACA